ATAGGGAAAAAGATAGTGCTTTATTTTCTTTATCTACAAGGTCAAATAGTTTCATAGTTGTTAGGGTAGGAAGGGACCTGAGCAGATCATCAAGTCCGACCCCCTGCCATGGGCAGGAATGAGTGCTGGGATCAAATGACCCCAGCTAGGTGATTATCTAGCCTCCTTTTGAAGACCCCCTCTCCCCCCAAGGTAGGAGCGAGCACCACTTCCCTTGAAAGTTGGATCCAGATCCTAGCCGCCCTGACTGCGAAGTAGCGCCTCCTGACCCTACTCTCAATCAACTTGTGGCCGTTATTCCTAGTTACTCCAGGTAGTGCTCGGGGGAACAGGGCCTCTCCCATTCCCCACTAGTCCCACCGGTAAGTTTATAGATGGCCGCTAGATCCCTTCTCAACCTGCTCTTGTGAAGGCTGAACAGGTTCAGATCCCGCAGCCTCTCCTCGTAGGGCCTGCCCTGCTGCCTCCTGACCATACAAGTGGCCCTCCTCTGGACCCTCTTGACGCTGTCCGCATCCCTCCTGAAGTGTGGTGCCCAGAACTGGATGCAGTACTCCATCTGCAGCCTGACCAATGTCGAATAGGAGGGGGAGGATCACCTCCTTAAACCTGCTTGTGATGCATCTGTGGATGCATGACAAGGTGCGGTTAGCCTTCCTGACTGCGGCCCCACATTGGCGGCTCATGTTCATCTTGGAATCAATGATGACTCCAAGATACCTTTCTGCCTCTGTGCTGACTAGAAGGGAGTTCCCCAGCCTGTAGGTATGCTGCTGGTTCTCTCCCCCTACGTGCAGTACCTTGCACTTGTGAGTATTGAATCCCATCTTATTCTCATCCGCCCACCCCTGTAACCTGTCAAGATCTAGTTGTAGCCTGTCCCTCCCTTCTAGCGTGCCCACCTCTCCCCACATCTTAGTGTTGTCTGTGAATTTGAACAAAGTGCTTTTCACCCTCTCGTCCAAGTCACTGATAAAGATGTTGAACAGTGCAGGCCTGAGGACCAAGCCCTAGGGAACCCCACTGCCCACATTCCTCCAGGTCAAAAATGACCTGTCCACCACCACTCTCTGGGTGCGGCCCTCTAGCCAATTTGCGACCCATCTGACTGTGTAGGCATCAAATAGTTGTGATCAAGAAACAAGGAGAAATAGATTTTTCCTGGTGATGGGAAGATGAAGGAGGGAGGAGAAAGGGGAGGGAATTAAATCCTTTCTGGCAGCATGGAGCAGAAGGACAGAACAGAAAGCAAGAAGGAAAAAAGAGAAACAGAGCGAGGAGAGGTTCTCTCAGCCCTAACTGCAACAATTAAAGGGGCAAGTTTTTATTCTGGGTCTACAAATTGTTCTTATATCATCTTTGAAAGGAGAGAGACAATTTTGTAAAATTTGCTAATTAACAACAGAAAATGGACAGACTTTTTTGGGTTTAAGAGATGCTATATTTAGATGGCAACTTCAGCGGTGCCAGGCTTTTATCAACAGGTCCCTAACCAGATAATAAACTTTCAGTTTTGAGATCGTCATTGCTCTTACAACATTTAGGAAACATTATGTGTATCAAAAATAATTCCTTTTCATGGATTCAATCCACCCCCAACTGAAATCCATGGAAGTCTTTCTATCAGCCTCCAGGATTGTTGGATCATCTCACATGAAGCAAGGTACAGTAGCTTAGAGGAAGGCAGGATCTCATTCTCAGGTTTCTTCTAGTATGACCAAAACTAAACTCTTGCTGCTGCTATGTGCTAACAGAATCATCCAGATCAATCATAGCTCAGGGTCACCTGCTGTGCAGGGTTGCATGCAAGGCTTGTCTAAACATTTAAAGTCAGAGAAAGATTACCTACCTATGTGCATCTATGGCCCTCACACAACCATTGTAACTGAACGGTCAAAGAACACTTGTAGGAGGCAGAGACGAGATTACTTTCCAACAACTGTAGTTCCCGAGTTGTTACTGCACATGAAGACTACTCACCTTCACCTCTTTTTAGAAATTCTCATACTCGGATTTAGTCAGGGAGCCAAGACAGCTGGGGCCACACAGCCCTTTTACCATATTTGGCTACTGCCCGTTTGCTATTGAAATGAAGGGGGAGTCAGGCCAAAGACAGCCAAACTGCAGGGTGAGGGAAGCAGTGTTCAAAACGTAAGAATATGAAGCAGCCACTTTATAATATAAACTTTACAGATGGGCAGCAGCAGCAAAACATGACAAAACTGATAAACTAAAATGAAGTACCAGTGACCAGGTAGGCTGCAAATTCACCTTAAGTCTCTTGGGCTAAGTACAGATATTCAAAAAGCCTGAGGCAGAATCACTCCAATCTATGCAGGTTTCTAAGATGCACAAATCAGATGGAAGCCATGCACTGCAGGGAGTCAGCAGATGCCTGCACTGGCCAAGGCCAGAGGCAGGGGGCACTCCTGCATGCTTCCCAGTGTGCCAGAGATGGCTGAGGGCGGCCAAGTGGGGGCCATCCCCGATTTGCTGTCAGGCACATGCCCCCAAACTCCAATATCACTGTGGACCCCCCACTGCATCCAGCCCAACACTTCCAGCAGTGACCCAGTGGCAACAGTGGGGGGCATGCCAACAACAGGGGGTTGGGGGCATGTGCTTGGTAGCTAATCAGGGATGACCCAGCTCCATTGAAGCAAGGATCGGGAATGAACCTTCCTTCTATGGAGCGCTCATGTCCCCGCTGTCCGGCACAAGCTTCCAGGGCAGCCCAGCACATCTTCATAGTTTCATAGTTTGTAGGGTCGGAAGGGACCTTGACAGATCATCAAGTCCGACCCCCTG